ACAAACTTATACCTTGATAGCTGTCTCATAGTAGCTTGTTTCCAAAGTGATATCGCCTAAGTAACAATAAAGCATAGAATCATCAGGACGATTTGTCAACAACCTTCTAATCAAAGCTTCAGCCTTAAAATGATGTCAATGAGACGGTTCCTCCACATAGGATAACTAAAATAACCTTTTCCAGTTGACCAAGCTGCTTGAAACAGTCTATTACATTGTCCCACAGTTCTAGCTTCTCGTATATAAGCAAAGATTCCTGGAATGATACCCCTCAACAAATCAAAGACAATTGCAGTTATTGAAATATAACGTGTTGAATTGATTCAAAATGGACTGACCGCCGTACATCCGAGAGACCGCAAAGTTTCAGCATGGATAACACGAGCTTCCCAAAAAGGTTCCAGACCACTGGCAAGAACTAATGTACAACGTTTTGTTTTTACATCCTCAGGCGTCTGGAATTAGTTTGTACATCCGTTTCATGTAACTCTTCAAGGGATAGCAATCTTGTGATAAATTTTCGTGCAATTCTGAACCTAATTTGAGGTGGGAAAAATTTTTTGGATAAATTCCTGATATGAATTCGAGTCCATATGAATTCTAGTGTAGAAACACAATTTGGTATTTAAAAATTGATTCATAGAAATATTTGGACCAAACAAACCTCATCTTCACCATCCATCAACTTGCAAATCAACTCCGACTGTGCGCATGCCCTTTCCACCCTTCGATTTTTCATTCTCTCTAGGTCACATCTGGCCAAAAGAGCAGCTGCCTGGACTGACCAGCACCGCCTTTGATTTATAATCTGAAAAATTGGAATATAACTAGGGAGAAGTATAATTTCGGAAAAAAATCAAAAATTTACGGCATCCAGAAAGGCATCGGCTCTTTCCAAGAACAATTCGTCACAATGTTCAGTTCGTCGCTCAAGCCGAAATAGAGCAAGAATGACAGCTAGCTGAATAGGGGTTAGAATGGCAGGCTTTGAGCCACCTTCGGTAAGAGAAATCTGTAAAAGTAATCTGGACTGATCTCAGTGCTAAAATCATAGCAATCGCTAAACAAACTACTAACTTTTTCAAGAAGCGTGTCATCATTCAAAGGACAATTAATAGGAACATCAGTATCTTCAACATTCTCCG